TGAACCCAATCGAACATCTCTAGAGAGACCTTAAAATAGCTGTGGAGCGACGCTCCCCATCCAACCTGACAGAGCTTGAGAGGATCTGCAGAGAAGAATGGGAGAAACTCCCCAAATGCAGGTGTGCCAAGCTTGTAGCATCATACCCAAGAAGACGTGAGGCTGTAATCGCTGCCAAAGGTGCTTCAACAAAGTACTGAGTAAAGGGCTGAATACTTATGTAAATGTAATATTTCACAATTTAATCCATTTTAGAATAAGGCTGGAACGTAACAAAATGTGGAAAAAGTCAAGGGGTCTGAATACTTTCCGAATGCACTGTATGTAAGTCGCTCTGGATAAGAGCTTCTGCTAAATGACTAAAATCTAAAATCTATGTGATGAGAAGGTGTAAAATAGCTGCTTTCAGCAAATAAAACTGATTCATCCATTGAAAGTCTATCTTTACTTTTCGGTGCTATTGGGGAATAAAGCATGTTGATTTGCAGGCACTCTAATGACAAAGCAATGATACACCTCGAACCAGAGCAAGTCATACATCCTGTACCATGAGATCCAATGTGACACTTGTAATTTTGGCCATAGAATTAAACAGGGGAGGAGGAGGATGGAGTAGATGTTTTCTTCTGGGGCTCAGACAGTCTGTCACAGCAAAGCAGCACAGCAGAGGAGCTGGAAGGTGAGCCGGTCAGTAACAGAGCACTAGACTGAGGAGTAATATTGCCCCCGAGCATGTCACAGCATTCAGCCATGTGTTGTACTGAGGAGTAATCTCACACAGCCTATGCATGGCTTGACATGAATGAGAGAGAGGGACGTTTTCCCACTGTTGTTGTTATTGTGTCTCCCTGTGTGCTGTCCAGCCTGCCCACGTGGAATGAACATCCTTCATGCCTTTGGACCATGATGCTGAGGCACTTGCAGCCTCCTAGCTGGCTTAAACAGTTTGATTCTGGACAGGCCCATGCTCTAATATAAATACTTTATAAATAGGGAAAGCTAAATACTTAAATCAGATTTGATATGACAATCTCACTCGTGTGCGCTTGTGTGTGCAAGTGCATGCGACTCTCTCTCAGTCTGTCATCCCCTTATCCCCTGCCTCACTCTGGGTGGCCAACCTTTCAGCATTTCCAATTATGTGCCTCTAAAATCTGTTTCCAGGGCAACTGGGGTACCAAACACATTCCCAGAGGCATCTTGCTGAAGTGCCTTTTGTTTACACTATTCATATCTGAGGGGAATTTATCCATTCTTACTTACAATATATGAATACACTAACTGACAAAAACATGAATGAGAAAGGGAAAATATATTCAGTGACAAACTATTTTCTAAAACATTAATTAAATAACCTCACATTGTCCTTATTGATAACCTGCTGTTTTATCATATACCAATAGCCTATGTTTTGTGAACTATAGTATACAGTACTGTGAAAAAGTGTTTGCCCCCTTTCTAATTTCCGCTACTTTTGCATATTTTTTATACTGACTGTTATCAGATCTTCAACCAAAACCTAATATTAGATAAAGGGAACCTGAGTGAACAAATAACACAACAATTACATACTTATTTCATTAACAAAGTTATGCAACACCCAATGCCCCTGTGTGAAAAAGTAATTGCCCCCTTACAGTCAATAACTGTGTGACGAGTACTAAGGATACGAAGAGGCAGGACGCAGACGCAGGAATTAACAATGTCAAGGTTTACTTAAACAATGACAAAGAGAATGAACAAAGATAGAGTACATGACACGAAGCAAAACAATCACACACAACATCCTACAGAACAGTCCAGGGCTAAATAAGGGTAGTGATGAGATGAGGTGCAGGTGCGCTGGAGGTGATTAGGGTGCATTGGGACCAGTCACCTCGCCCACTTACCCTGCCGGTCCTGACAGTGGCAACGAAGAAACCTCCCCAGCTCCTGGTTCATGCGCTCCACCTGCCCATTCGACTGAGGCCTATACCCGGAGGTGAGGCTGGCCGTGGCCCCGATCTTCTCCAGGAAATCCTTCCACACTCGGGAGGTGAATTGGGGGCCACGGTCCGAGACAATGTCCTCCGGAAGTCCATAATGCCGGAAGACCTGTTGGAACAGGACCTCAGCGACCTGGAGAGCAGAAGGAAGACCAGTTAGTGGCAAAAAACGGCATGATTTGGAGAACCGATTTACGACCACCATGACTGTGGTGAAGCCGTCAGAACGTGGAAGGTCGGTGACAAAGTCTATTGACAGGTGTGACCAAGGTCGCTGAGGCACTGGGAGAGGAACTAGTTTGCCTGCCGCAGCGTTCAGAGGTGTCTTCGTTTGGGCACATACGGAACAGGAGTTGACATAGCGGGACACATCAGAAGCCAAGGTGGGCCACCAGTACTTTTGTGCTAGAGAATGCAGGGTGCGCGTAATACCGGAGTGCCCTGCCGTAAGGGTGGTGTGTGCCCAGATCAGCAGGCGGTCCCGGACACTGGTCGGTACATACACACGCCCCGGTGGGGCGTTGGCAGGCGCCAGGTCCTCCTGAGCCGCCAGGCGGATGTCTTCGTCCACATCCCAAACGACAGGTGCAACGATGAGACGAGGGAAGGATAGGGCCCCCCAGATCCTTCCTTTCTCTGGTATGGTGCATCCTGGAGAGTTGGTCAGCTTTCACATTCTGGGATCCTGGGCGGTAGGACAGAATGAATTGAAATCGAGTAAGAAATTGGGCCCACCTGGCTTTACGAGAGTTCATCCGGGTCGCTGCCCGTATGTGCTCCAAATCCGGAATGGATGGACTGCGCCCTCCAGCCAGTGTCTCCATTCCTCCAGAGCGAGGACCACCGCCAACAGCTCCCTGTCTCCAACTCCAGGCATAATGGGACCCATGTCATCCAAAAAGTTATACTTCTGACTCATCTGTCCATAGAACATTCTTCCAAGAGTCATTCCAGGTGCTTCCAGGTGCTTTTTGGCAAATTTGAGTCAACTTTTTGGAAGAAATGGATCCCATTATGTGTGGCAAAAACCAAACACTGCATTCCACAGTAATAATATGCCATTTAGCAGACGCTTTTATCCAAAGCGACTTACAGTCATGCGTGCATACATTTTTGTGTATGGGTGGTCCCGGGGATCGAACCCACTACCCTGGTGTTACAAGTGCCGTGCTCTACCAACTGAGCTACAGTAAGAACCTCATACCAACGGTCAAGCATGGTGTTGGTAGTGTGATGGTTTGGGGATGCTTTGCTGCCTCAGGACCTGGACGACTTGCCTTAATAGAAGGAACCATGAATTCTGCTCTGTATCAGATCATTCTACAGGAGAATGTCAGGCCATCCGTCTGTGAGTTGAAGCTGAAGCGCAGCTGGGTCATGCAGCAAGACAATGATACAAAACACACAATCAAGTCTACATGAAAATGGTTAAAAAGCAACTAATTTGAAGTTTTGGAATGGCTTAGTCAAAGTCCAGACCTAATCCCAATTGAGATATTGTGGCAGGACTTGAAACGAGAAGTTCATGCTTGAAAACCCACAAATGTCACTGAGTTAAAGCAGTTCTGCATGCAAGAGTGGGCCAAAATACCTCCTCAGCAATGTGAGAGAGTGATCAACAACTACAGGAAGCATTTGGTTGCAGTCATTACAGCTAAAGGTGGCACAACCAGTTATTGAGTGTAAGGGGGCAATTACCTTTTCACACAGGGGAATTGGATGTTGCCTAACTTTGTTAATTAAATACATTATTTGTAAACTCAGGTTCCCTTTATCTAATATGAGATTTTGGTTGAAGATCTGATAACATTCAGTATCAAATATATGCAAAAATAGAGAAAATCAGAAAGGGGCAAATACTTTTTCAGGCACTGTATGTTTTTGAACAATGTTTACATTATGGAGAAGAAAACAGCTATGCCATTACATATGCGGTGTGTAATTATTCTCGCTTCAATAGGTTGCATAGCAAATGGGTTATTGTGTTTTCACCCTGTTGAATTGCATTCTTATTTCTTACAGAGAACAAACTGCACCTCACTCATGATTGCACGATTATGAAATGCATTGTATTTATGTAGGCTACCATCTCTGTTTTGATCAGCTAATATGGAACATACACTACAAACCATGAAAAATATTCCTCTAGATTTTATTTTATTCTATGTTCAGATCATAGACCAATATTACAGGTAATCTATAGGTGATATATCAATAGACTTTAATTATTTCATTGAAGTGTGTTGTCAGGACCATAGTTTGTCAGGTGGTGAAACCTTCTGGAAAACTATTGTCTGACTACAAGATCTTATATCGCGCAACATCTGTGCGTGCAGTCCCTTCTGACCTGAGCACTTCCATATCATACCTATGTATGGACAGCTTTCAAAGGGGACTCTTACTCGGAACACAGGAGTTTGGAGCATATATAGCTAGCTTGAGAAAAGGCTGTCTTAGTCATTTATATGGCATATTGAAAATCACGTCCTCCAGATCTTAATGGTGCGCTTGCGTGCAAATTAACCGGGAGCTGTCTAAGTGCTGAATCTAAAGAGATGTCCACTCGTCTCCCATTCCAGCAGTGGACGGTCTTCAATCGAAGGAAATATTCTGCTTCAACACCACTATACGTTTTCGAGACCATACATCTGTTTTCACTGAGTTTTTGAATGAAAGTGAGAAAACGCCTTCCTGAAGGCTCTATATTCCGCGTCTTGTGGATATTTCTCACCTCACAACGTCTTTTCCACAGGTTATTTTTAGATGGCAATGACTCAGAATTGATGATTCTTTACACATTATCAACAACAATACCGCACCTGGGAATCAGTGTTTCATCAAACTAAGCTATGATCCTACGGACTGGAATTCCTCATGTGTATTCTCTGTGTGCCACGAGAACACTCAACTGTGCTTTGGTCAGAAAGAAAGCGATATTGCTGCTTGGATTGTGTGTTTGACCAACATTCACATATGGAAGAAATAAAAAATTTAAGAAATCTAAAATCAAGAGGAATGAATCGCCCCTTTATCAACGTCTTGACTGCTTTATTTGCATGTTTAATGGAGACCAACAACAGCAGGTAGGTGAATGCTTAGGCTACTTTATTGGCCATTTAACATAAAACATTTTTTAAAAATAGAATGAGATACTTTCTTCTTTATTTGTATGTAGCCTATTCAACTGTAATGTTCATTGATGAAAAGGCAAAGTGCGTTACCATTAAAACAAAGTTTAGGATATTGAGTTTCAACCTACCTCGAATGACCCATTATTTCTTCGTGGACCCCAAAGTTCCATTGTTATTAATGGAATGTAGAAATGATTCAACTTCAATATTCAATACAGTTGCTTTTCCATCAGCATGTAGCCTAGTCAGAGTAGGCTATATGGAGCCGTCAATATCGCATGGTAATTTCTGGTATTTTGCCAAGTTAATCATTGCCTCTAACTCAGTCTGTGGGCGTTGTCAAAACGTTCAGTGGCATGTCCAGAACATTTTGAATGGGGTGGCCAAGGTGGGGCACAGACCCAGTTTAGGGGGGCCATAACATTTAGAACCTTAATTGATGCAAGGTGGATTTTTTCAATATAATTATGATGGTTCAATGCATTGAATGCTTTAGCTTAGGTTTGGTACATTTCCCTGTTCAAATCATAAATCAATTCCAAAAGTATTGTTACAGTGTTTGCATTCAAGGTCAGGATTTTATATAAGGGTATTAGCATACAGCAGTAAATTCACTTGAAAGTGCCATCCAGAGTGTGAATTATACTGTGACATTCGGGACCTGGTATGTACACATGCACATGCCATACACAAACCTTTTTGGGGTTCTGTATAGTAAGCATGTAATTTAACTGTAAAAATGTCTTACCTTTTAATGTGTCATGAACACAACCAGTCATGATATTCTCATCTGATTGTCAAACAAATCATTTAAAAAGTAGGTTAAGTAGGTTACCTGTACATGTTCATCTACTCCAAAATAAGTCCAGCATCCAAACAGTGCACTGTGCACCTGCCATTTGAATGGAAAGTTACATCTATTACAAACACCATGTGTAATGACATGCAGCCTGCAAAGTGGTGTGTATTCATGGATGCCAAGGGAAGCCAGGCTTCCCCAAAAATGTAAACAATACAAAAATAAATGATTTCTCATTGGTGTCTATCTGTGTTTCATAATTTTCCTTGAATTCGCAAGAGGCCGAATCCATTTCACCAGAGAAAGCATCTGAGCAAGGCAAACAGCGTCCCTCTGTCTTAGTATCAGTAGTCCACCCTGGGCCACCACCTGGACACACCACTGAAAACGTTGTCAAATTCCGTAGTAGCCTATGTGTCAGAGGGATTTTATTTCAAAGTGTGTATAGCCTATATGCATACAATGAGGACAGTCACAATGCCAACTCTCCAATACAGTGGTAATAAGCTTAAAGCACACCGCGTCTGCCAAGGTGTTCCTTCACTATTGTAATCCTTCCTAATCATATCATTTGAATCTCATTTGTGTTTCTCTGCTTGCCTATACACCAGTATGCAGATGAGCTTCCTATTTGGTTGAGATTAAGTAGAAATGGTTTCAATACACCTTGACTTCTGACTGAGCAAGTAAGTGTTTTTTTTTCTTTGTTTGTTTCTCACAGGGTGGTGGATGCCAAGGAGCATGAGTCCAGATCAGGCTCTACTACTAACTTGTCTCCCTCAGACTTTCTGGACTCATTAATGGGTAGAACATCTGGTTATGATGCGCGAATACGACCAAACTTCAAAGGTTGGTTTTTATTTGACTTTTTAATACTTCTTAAGAATTTGAGTGTGGATTGGAAAACCTTCACCTAAAATGCATCTGGGATATCAGTGTATCCACCCATATGTACACTGAGTATACAAAACATTAAGAACACCTGCTCTTTCCATGACATAGACTGAACAAGTGAATCCAGGTGAATGCTATGATCCCTTATTGATGTCACTTGTTAAATCCACTTCAATCAGTGTAGATGAAGGGGAGGGGACAGGTTAAAGAAGGATTTTTTAAAAACTTGAGACAATTGAGACATGGATTGTGTATGTGTGCCATTCAGAGGGTGAATGGGCAACACAAAATATTGAAGTGCCTTTGAGCGGGGTATGGTAGTAGGTGCCAGGCGCATCGGTTTGCTGCTGGGTATTTCATGCAGTTTCCCGTGTGCATCAAGAATGGTCCACCACCCAAAGGACATCCAGTCAACTTGAAACAACTGTGGGAAGCATTGGAGTCAACATGGGCCAGCATCCCTGTGGAATGCTTTCGACATCATGTAGAGTCCATGCCCCGACGAATTGAGGCTGTTCTGAGGGCAAAATGGGGGGCAACTCAATATTAGGAAGGTGTTCCTAATGTTTGGGATACTCAGTGTATAGTACTGACATCCCACACATAATGATGTATACATTCTCAACTGAACACCCCCTCAACAGTCAATAAGGCACATTATGAACAATACATTTTGTGCTTGTCTATTGATAAAACCCACCCCTTAATGAGTTAAAGAAGAATGGCTATCAATCACGCCTGTAGACAGTGACATCATCCTCCATGTAGGATTTATGGGATTGCGATATGGAACATGAAAGGATCAGAGCAGAACCGACTCACTTGACTCACACTGGTCTGATTGGTTCTCTCAAATGTTTCTTTCTTCCCTGGGGGGGTTGAGATCTCACAATGTTTTTGATTAAAAAATCCAACAATTGTATTGGGGGCTGTGTGTGGTTGTCCATGTGAGTGTTTTAGTGAGAAAGACACAGAGGAGAACCAATCAGTAAAAAAGCACATCCCCTTCATTATAAACGCATCGTGCCCACAACATGAAAATAGCCTTTCTAGACTCTGAAGTCAGGAGGAGTTAGCCATACTACCATCACCCATTATAACACCCAATATAGCGATTTCTTCAATTGTCATTTATATTGTCCAACAGCTATATTAAACATAAGCATTCAAAACAAAAACAACAACAACAACAACAATAATGAGGTATAGATGTGGGCCCAAAACAACAGTGGTGCCACAGTGACAACCTCATATGAGGGATGGGGTCCCTCTGGCCAGACTGCTGAGTTCCTCTATTGTTGTGTTGTGGTGCGGGGGAGAGACAGCATCTGTCACTGTGATGGAGATGAGTAAGGAGAGGGAAGGGAACTCGTTGGTGGGGCTCAGGGTGGCAGGTGGGTATGGAGACAGGCAGGGCGGGGGGGTAGGAAGGGGCACACCCCAGACAGGGAGGCAGGCATGCAGGCAGACCCCAGGCTGGGACACTAGTGGTGGAACCATGCTGGAGGGAAGGCCACTGAGAGGAGAGTAGTACAGGAAACACAGTCTGAGATTGGTCAGCAAGACTCAGCCTTCACCCAGAAACACTGGCCCAGATCTATCCACTCCATCTGGGAGAATTGGAAACACGTGTACACAAGATCTCAGAAATGGACTCAAGATCAGGGGAAGACTTGTCTGTTTTTTTTTTTTTTTTGGAAAGCCAGAAACTATTTTTATCTGTATATGGGATAATGCTGGAGTTGTGAGGAGTAGAGGAAATTAAAATTACTGGAATGAAGAACATGATCTTACCTTGTCTGATAAATTGGTGAGTTCAAGTCTCTGGTGGACAGAGTATTCCAGTCTAATTAGGTTTAATACCACACACACACACACAAACAAAGTTTAATTAGAAGGTTGATTAGAGCAGTTTTATACAATTGTACTGCAGTTCCTCACTGTTTCTACAAGCAGCAATTCTTCCATTTATTAGGCATCGAGCACAATACACACACACACACACACACACACAAACACACACACACACACACACACACACACACACACAAACACACACACACACACACACACACACACACACACACACACACACACACACACACACACACACACACACACACACACACACACGTAAAGTGAACAGGGATACACATAGATTATGTTTGTTTATCACCTACAAACCATACTGTGTCACAACTATACCCCACAGTGCTGCTGGAGCTTGACCTACATTTGCCTGCCAAGGTTGTTGTGTGGAGTTATTCCATTACATTTCTCTGTTACTGATATTAAATGCAGTTGCCCGACTACAAACTGAGGCGAATATTAATACCACCACGTCACATGCAATATTGATGAGGAATACACAGGGGAAGGGCAATGTGCTCACAACTTCACTTATCAACACAGAGACCTCTCTCTCCCTGGCTGACATTATTGTTTTTATTCAAGACAGTGTTACTGTGTTGGATAGAAAGTGTCAAATCCTGATTTTGCTTTTCCACTGCTTTTCAGTCATTCTGTGACCTCATAGATAACGGTAGAATGCCTGTGACACTAAGTTGACTTTTCTGCTCATGATTGTTTCATAAGAAACACGTGCCACTGTTTGTAATGCCATTGTGTGTGTGTGTGTGTGTGTGTGTGTGTGTGTGTGTGTGTGTGTGTGTGTGTGTGTGTGTGTGTGTGTGTGTGTGTGTGTGTGTGTGTGTGTGTGTGTGTGTGTGTGTGTGTCAGCGTGTGTCTCTCAGCATGTGTTTTTGTTTATCTGTTTCTTAACCCTATCAATGAAAACATTCCTTGTCATCCTTATTGAGTTAGTCAATGACTTGTCCTAGTTAGCATTAGCAGGCAACATACTTTTGATTGAAGTAAGTAACCATTTCTGAACGATACCACTGTTTGTTGAATATTGGAGTTGATCCTGCCATTTTTAACTATTACTGTACCAGGCCTGCTGTTGAAGACAAACGCCTGGGGATGAGATTAGTCAATGACTAGTGTAGCTGTTATGACTTGCATGGGGTGCTTAGGAGAACAACAGGCCTTGTTTATGTTGACAGAAAAACATACTAGGAGAACAACAGGCCTTGTTTATGTTGACAGAAAAACATACTAGGAGAACAACATGCCTTGTTTATGTTGACAGAAAAACATACTAGGAGAACAACATGCCTTGTTTATGTTGACAGAAAATCATACTAGGAGAACAACATGCCTTGTTTATGTTGACGGAAAAACATACTAGGAGAACAACAGGCCTTGTTTATGTTGACAGAAAAACATACTAGGATAACAACATGCCTTGTTTATGTTGACAGAAAAACATACTAGGAGAACAACATGCTTTGTTTATGTTGCCGTAAAAACATACTAGGAGAACAACAGGCCTTGTTTATGTTGACAGAAAAACATACTAGGAGAACAACAGGCCTTGTTTATGTTGACAGATATACAGTACACACTAGGAGAACAACAGGCCTTGTTTATGTTGACAGAAAAACATACTAGGAGAACAACAGGCCTTGTTTATGTTGACAGAAAAACATACTAGGAGAACAACAGGCCTTGTTTATGTTGACATAAAAACATACTAGGAGAACAACAGGCCTTGTTTATGTTGACAGATAATCATACTAGGAGAACAACAGGCCTTGTTTATGTTGACAGAAAAACAAACTAGGAGAACAACATACATTGTTTATGTTGACAGATATACAGTACACACTAGGAGAACAACAGGCCTTGTTTATGTTGACAGAAAAACATACTAGGAGAACAACAGGCCTTGTTTATGTTGACAGAAAAACATACTAGGAGAACAACATGCCTTGTTTATGTTGACAGAAAATCATACTAGGAGAACAACATGCCTTGTTTATGTTGACGGAAAAACATACTAGGAGAACAACAGGCCTTGTTTATGTTGACAGAAAAACATACTAGGAGAACAACATGCCTTGTTTATGTTGACGGAAAAACATACTAGGAGAACAACAGTCCTTGTTTATGTTGACAGAAAAACATACTAGGAGAACAACAGGCCTTGTTTATGTTGACAGATATACAGTACACACACTAGGAGAACAACAGGCCTTGTTTATGTTGACAGAAAAACATACTAGGAGAACAACATGCCTTGTTTATGTTGACAGAAAAACATACTAGGAGAACAACATGCCTTGTTTATGTTGACGGAAAAACATACTAGGAGAACAACAGGCCTTGTTTATGTTGACAGAAAAACATACTAGGAGAACAACAGGCCTTGTTTATGTTGACAGATATACAGTACACACTAGGAGAACAACAGGCCTTGTTTATGTTGACAGAAAAACATACTAGGAGAACAACAGGCCTTGTTTATGTTGACAGAAAAACATACTAGGAGAACAACAGGCCTTGTTTATGTTGACATAAAAACATACTAGGAGAACAACAGGCCTTGTTTATGTTGACAGATAATCATACTAGGAGAACAACAGGCCTTGTTTATGTTGACAGAAAAACAAACTAGGAGAACAACATACATTGTTTATGTTGACAGATATACAGTACACACTAGGAGAACAACAGGCCTTGTTTATGTTGACAGAAAAACATACTAGGAGAACAACAGGCCTTGTTTATGTTGACAGAAAAACATACTAGGAGAACAACAGGCCTTGTTTATGTTGACATAAAAACATACTAGGAGAACAACAGGCCTTGTTTATGTTGACAGATAATCATACTAGGAGAACAACAGGCCTTGTTTATGTTGACAGAAAAACAAACTAGGAGAACAACATACATTGTTTATGTTGACAGATATACAGTACACACTAGGAGAACAACAGGCCTTGTTTATGTTGACAGAAAAACATACTAGGAGAACAACAGGCCTTGTTTATGTTGACAGAAAAACATACTAGGAGAACAACATGCCTTGTTTATGTTGACAGAAAATCATACTAGGAGAACAACATGCCTTGTTTATGTTGACGGAAAAACATACTAGGAGAACAACAGGCCTTGTTTATGTTGACAGAAAAACATACTAGGAGAACAACATGCCTTGTTTATGTTGACGGAAAAACATACTAGGAGAACAACAGTCCTTGTTTATGTTGACAGAAAAACATACTAGGAGAACAACAGGCCTTGTTTATGTTGACAGATATACAGTACACACACTAGGAGAACAACAGGCCTTGTTTATGTTGACAGAAAAACATACTAGGAGAACAACATGCCTTGTTTATGTTGACAGAAAAACATACTAGGAGAACAACATGCCTTGTTTATGTTGACGGAAAAACATACTAGGAGAACAACAGGCCTTGTTTATGTTGACAGAAAAACATACTAGGAGAACAACAGGCCTTGTTTATGTTGACAGATATACAGTACACACTAGGAGAACAACAGGCCTTGTTTATGTTGACAGAAAAACATACTAGGAGAACAACAGGCCTTGTTTATGTTGACAGAAAAACATACTAGGAGAACAACAGGCCTTGTTTATGTTGACATAAAAACATACTAGGAGAACAACAGGCCTTGTTTATGTTGACAGATAATCATACTAGGAGAACAACAGGCCTTGTTTATGTTGACAGAAAAACAAACTAGGAGAACAACATACATTGTTTATGTTGACAGATATACAGTACACACTAGGAGAACAACAGGCCTTGTTTATGTTGACAGAAAAACATACTAGGAGAACAACAGGCCTTGTTTATGTTGACAGAAAAACATACTAGGAGAACAACATGCCTTGTTTATGTTGACAGAAAATCATACTAGGAGAACAACATGCCTTGTTTATGTTGACGGAAAAACATACTAGGAGAACAACAGGCCTTGTTTATGTTGACAGAAAAACATACTAGGAGAACAACATGCCTTGTTTATGTTGACGGAAAAACATACTAGGAGAACAACAGTCCTTGTTTATGTTGACAGAAAAACATACTAGGAGAACAACAGGCCTTGTTTATGTTGACAGATATACAGTACACACACTAGGAGAACAACAGGCCTTGTTTATGTTGACAGAAAAACATACTAGGAGAACAACATGCCTTGTTTATGTTGACAGAAAAACATACTAGGAGAACAACATGCCTTGTTTATGTTGACGGAAAAACATACTAGGAGAACAACAGGCCTTGTTTATGTTGACAGAAAAACATACTAGGAGAACAACAGGCCTTGTTTATGTTGACAGATATACAGTACACACTAGGAGAACAACAGGCCTTGTTTATGTTGACAGAAAAACATACTAGGAGAACAACAGGCCTTGTTTATGTTGACAGAAAAACATACTAGGAGAACAACAGGCCTTGTTTATGTTGACAGAAAAACATACTAGGAGAACAACATACATTGTTTATGTTGATAGAAAAACATACTAGGAGAACAACAGGCCTTGTTTATGTTGACAAATATACATACAGCCCATAATGTGGTGTTAGATAGGTAATAAAGCACATGCTCGCTTTCACAACTAATTACACTCAGCTTACTGTACATCCAACAGATATTGCACTGCTATCTTTCTCAAACTCCCTCATCTCTATTTGCTAAAGCACTCCGTGGAGATGGCACATGATGATTAAGGGCAAAAAAACATCTTGACTTTTTCTTGTCACCTCATTCTCATTCCATTTCACAGGTCCCCCTGTAAACGTTACATGCAATATTTTTATCAACAGTTTCGGCTCGGTCACAGAGACCTCCATGGTAAGTGTTCTTGCTTTATCTCTTCCCTGTCAAACATGTCAATGTGTTATCTATCCTCCAACCTGCAGGTCCCCCAGTTAATGTTACCTGCAACATATTTATCAACAGCTTTGGTTCTATAGCAGAAACTACAATGGTGAGTTGGAGTGTTGTGCTTGGCCATGTTAACTACATTTACATTTGACATTTTAGCAGATGCTCTTATCCAAAGCGACTTACAGGAGCAATTATGGTTAAGTGCCTTGCTCAAGGGCACATCAACAGATTTTTCACCTAGCCGGCTCAGGGATTCGAACCAGCGACCTTTCGGTTACTGGCCCAATGCTCTTAATCAACAGCATGGCTCATTTGCTCCTCAGGAGTTTAAGATTGAAATCATCCAATTTCTTTTAGTTTATGGATGTTTTGAACTTTTGCTTCTTCATATGAGATGATTCACTTTGTCCCATTCCCATAGTCTATTGGCGGCTCCAGGGGGCAAGTATAGCTAACAGACACTGAGCACCACAATTGAATCAGATATCTTTCCCATTATACTCAAGACAATATTGTATTGCTATTCCCATGACACTCCCTTGTGCATGTGTTGGATTAGTTCTGTTTTAATAATTCACACAGTGAATGCCAGCACATAATTTACTTTAATTGCAGCCAATAGCTGTAGGTTTGATATCTTATGGCCTGAGATTTAAGCATGTTGATTGGTTGTAATGTCCCACAGACATCCAACTGCCCAAGGGGTAAACAATATCAAACGTGGAATCCACATTGAGATCCTATCCAATAACTACTATCGCAATGCATTAATAATTAGTTAGAATTTTGTCCATTGAATACTTGCATTTTTGGTAGACAGTCTTTGCCTGAGTTAATCAACAGCCGAGCCGGGTTTATAACACTTGCCCACAGTTGTTCAATAACTTTTCACACATAGACATACACATCTGGGACCACCAATACACTGCTGCCTACCGAATAGGTCTGTTCTGAGAGGGAGAGAGAAGGTATCTAATCCGATGCGATCTGTTCATCTGCAATCAATTAAGCCTCTTGAAACCTGCACAATTCAATATTAACTGCATCTTCAAACTTCAATGGACTTTCTTGGTCTACTATTCACACAAACATCATCTATCTCCTATTACGACCATTTAGCAATAACAATTAATGAGGAAACTGATCATATGGATCAAGTAACTAAATTAGATTTATGACTTCAATTTGATTAGATTGCTTCTTTTAATAAATGTGTATATATTGTCCCATTTACTCCTAAATTGTGTAATTTGGATTTTAGATGATGGTATTGTGTGGTGATTTACAAACATACAAATATGCATTGAAATCCATGCATTGCATCCATTCATTCATGCTATTGTTTATCATATTACAATTCTGTGTAAAAATGAGGAGCAATTTCTCTAGTTAAAGTTTTGTGGCACCACTTCAATTTGTGGTAGTGTCACAGTCAAAGTGTCAGAATTGTATTTTACTATTAATATTATTTATAGTATCATTGGTGCTTTATTAGTGCCTTAGTGCCAAATGTCTTGGGGTGATACTGCATGTCACTACGATGGAACCAAAAACCTGAGGCAGGCACTTGGCCTACATATTGACAAGACAATGTTGTTTTGTATTAGTGGCTCTACCATTCTAAGTATGTAAAAGTCTATAGCAAAATTATTTTCGTATTCACTGACTGTGTGACACAATATATTCTGGTCACCAAAAGTATAGTACTGTATATTTAATGGAGATAGACAAAGTAGTCCATATGTCAAAGTAAAGCAGTTGTAAAGCTGATTTCACTATTTCCCCAAGGATTACAGAGTGAACATCTTCCTGCGACAGAAGTGGAGAGACCCTCGGCTGGCGTACAGCAAATACCCAGACTCCTCTCTTGACCTGGACCCGTCCATGTTGGATTCTATTTGGAAACCTGACCTGTTCTTCGCCAACGAGAAAGGCGCCAACTTCCATGATGTCACCACAGACAACAAGCTCCTGAGGGTCTTCAAAGATGGGACCGTCTTGTACAGTATCAGGTTAGATGTGGGGCGTGCATTGAATGGTGGGCTCAACTCTATTGCTTGGGGAAGTTAGTGCAATAGGCTTAACATTTCCTGTTGGAAACATCCAAACAAAGAAAATATTCAAATCCAGTGAGATTTCAGCAGACAATCAGAGATTCCCTTCAACTTTAGTCTACCTCCAGGCCCTTCACGTACATGTAATTACTTTTGTAAGAAACAAGATTCTACATCAAAGACTACCTCTCAGGTTTAATGGGATTCATCTCAATAAAGTATTCCTTCAGCTGGAGGAATTGGATGCAATATGGTTTCACTAAGACTACATAGCAACGCAAACTACTAGAGTATCCAAAGGCTGCACGGAACTTTTCTCCAAAGATGTTTAGAATACGTTCAGGATAGGCGTATAGAAATAACCCACTCATGTAGGCTATTCATTTCCCTGGGCATTTGCTACAAGTCAATATGTTTCATCCCTAGCGTTGCACGGGATCAGTAAAATGGAATCACTTCAAAGTAGATGCAGCCCACTCGTAGTAGATGAGACGGGTTACATTTTAGTAATTTAGCCAACGCTCTTATCCAGAGTGACTTACAGGATCAATTAGGGTCAATTGCCTTGCTCAAGGACACATCAACACATTGTTCACCTAGTTGGCTCGGGATTCTAACCAGCAATCTTTCAGTTACTGGCCCAACGCTCTTAACAGTTAGGCTACCTGCCAATAGCCTCCTCTTACAAAAACCACCACTACACTTGAGTACAAACCTGTGATACAAGATATGAAAATACATGAGATTTTATTTAATTTCAATATCACTTCAGTCACACCACTCCGCCTTAGATTTACACCTCGAGGCAGCGGAATAATGCAGCTCAATCTGGTGTCCATTTGGAGAGCTGATTCAGGTGGTGGAGCCCAGATGTGGAGGGAGGCAAGGGGATTCTGAGAGAACAGATGAAAGAAAGGTGGTTAGTCGCTCTCTCCATTCATGAGAGAAGAGATGAGAAAGGGAGCAGACTGCTGATGAAAATACATCTCAGAGAGGGTCCAGTAATAAAAGTGTGATAAGAACCTGCTGAAGGGAATCCCACATGCTGTGTGGGAGGAGGAGGCTCTCTCAGAGGAGGAGGAGGGAAGGAGAAAGAGCATTCACTGCAAATGAGGAGCATATGTTTAGCACATACTTTACACAGTCACAAAGTAGGCATACATTGTAGGGAGCTTGTATTTAATTCTCACTTGAAACAGTAAACAACAACTAAGATCGTAAAATTGAGAAAAAATGTGAGTTCCGTGTAAGATTTTTTATTTAACAATACATGTATCTGTTGAGTGAGGTATAGAACATGCTAATCTAATAACTACACTGAAAAAAATCCTGTTGTTTTTACAGTAACTTAGTTACCTGTAAGTTACTGTAAAAAAAGGTACAGTTTGTTACCGTACATTCCTATGATACTTTGGTTTAACAGTACATTACTGTAACGTTTTCATATGCTTTATTTGTACATTCACAAATAATGCTTGCACAGTTGTTTCATTACTTTTACACGCCTCTTCCTCAAAGGTTGACCCTCATTCTATCTTGTCCGATGGATCTGAAGAACTTTCCCATGGACATGCAGATCTGTACCATGCAACTGGAGAGCTGTAAGTGTCTGCTCCTTACAACTCACATGGTAAAGCACATGCAATATGGTTTGTGAAAATGCAATAACATAACAAACATATTTGCTGTGTTCATTCATTCCTCAGTTGGCTACACCATGAATGATTTGATCTTCGAGTGGGAGAGCAAGGACAAAAATCCTGTGCAGGTGGCTGCAGGGCTGACCCTCCCCCAGTTCATCATGAGAGATGAGAAGGAGCTGGGATACTGTACCAAAAGCTACAACACCGGTCAGAGAGCCACACACACACACACTTACACACCACACCTCTCACCACACCGTCCCTGATCTGAGGTGTCAGTGTGTTTTGTTCTACAGGTAAATTCACCTGCATTGAGGTGAAGTTCCACCTGGAGAGACAGATGGGTTACTACCTGATCCAGATGTACATCCCCAGCCTCCTCATCGTCATCCTGTCCTGGGTCTCCTTCTGGATCAACATGGATGCCGCGCCCGCCAGGGTGGCACTGGGTATTACCACCGTGCTCACCATGACAACCCAGAGCTCCGGCTCCCGAGCCTCCCTTCCCAAGGTAAGCCTGTTAATCCAAGCAGTGACAGGATGAGTGGACAATATGATGGAGGAGGGAGGGTCAATGGGCCTTGTTCAGATCAATCAACCTTCCATTTTCCACTCATGTCAGAAGTCATACATAATCAGATACTGTTCATGAAATGTAAATATGCCTATGATTGAAGTCTCCGTGCTTCACTGAATTCTGACTCAGATTTAAGTGTTCTATGGATAAATTAGCAATCAATGGATTTACAGTATATCAAGAGACTATCAATGTGAAGTCTTTCATTTTTAATCAATAAGTTGTAAAAACAGAGAATACTATTAAACTTAACATTATCACAATTTATGTTAGAAATGACAATTACAACAGTGATTTAGGAAGTAATATAATATTACTAAATTAAACAGTAGTGGATACACTGCGACTGTACACGGTCAAACATACTAAATTGGAATTCACAATTACGTTAGCAAGAGCACTTCAGCGTGAGTCATCTCTTGAAGATCAGTCATTCTCTCACACATTGGATCGTCCGCACATGACCACGTCAGAGGCCCGCATGAAAGAGACACACTCTAATAAATATTTAGAGAGAGGTCTTTGAGAGGCCCAACTCAGAACAACAAGAGCTCAATACACCTTAAGAGCACTCGACAACGTCAAGTTGTTTTCGCTCCATGAAAATGACCTGTCATTTTGAGAGACAGAGACAGGTTATTGTATGATGAATAAGAGGGCATCCTTTAGTGTCTAGCCTCCATCTCATCTCCGGCATGGAGATGGATGAAATAGACTGATAAAGGCTCCAGTCGAGCTGCTACTGTTTCCTTTGTGTTACCTTGGTAATTAAAGCAGCAATTATTTCCTTCCAGCGCAATCGCTGAAAATCGCTGATATCAACATGAGCTTTGAGAGTTTAAAGCACTCGTTAGCAAATACCACCCCCCTAATTATGGTGATTTAGAATTTACAGCAACTGACTAACATAAAAAAGCACGTCATTGAGGGAAAATAATATTCCCATTGAAATGTTAATTGTGAAGGCAGCACATAAAAGGATTATTCAGTCCCAGTAAATGACTGTTTATTTGGTTCTTGTCACAGGTCTCCTATGTGAAGGCCATTGATATCTGGATGGCCGTGTGTCTCCTGTTTGTATTTGCTGCCCTACTGGAATACGCTGGAGTTAACTTTGTCTCCAGGCAACAGAAGGAGTTCCTTCGCTTGAGGCGAAGACAGAGGCGGACACACAGGGTAAATAAACACTCTAGGCTTGAGGATCATTCCCTTTAGAACAGTCACTGCAAAGCCCAGACTCATAACCACAGGAGTTTGGTGGCACCTTAATTCGGGAGGACGGGCTCGTGGTAATGGCTGGAACGGAATTGGTGGAATGGTATCAAATACATCAAACACATGGTTTCCATGTGTTTGATGCCATTCCATTTGCTCCGTTCCGGTCATTATTATGAGCCGTCGTCCCCTCAGCAGCCTCCTGTGCTCATGACTGAACCATTTTTAAAGAGTTGGAGTTCCACTCTAGTAATTGTTCATTGCTATTCAAGAGATAGTCGAGAAACAGGAAAGATGGAGAAAATGTGTGTTGAAAATGCGATATGGGACCGGGATTCGAACGATCCCACACTCACACAGACTTCCATGCACCAGAGGTGGTGCCAGAAACCGCTAGACCAAATCCCAGGGCCTCATGACTGAACATATGAACAGTGTCTTTTAAAAAGGAGTGTGACATGAAGAAACTGCGTTGAATGAACACTTAGGGCAGTCAGAGACTGATGTTAAGTAGGCCATTTTTAAGGAAATGTGTGTAAGGTTATCTGTGGTTATAAGTGTGTCAGCTTGTTGTTGCTGCAGCAGAGGAAGGGAGGGTGTAATATCTGGGAGACATTCAGCTGTGTCCCCAGTGTTAATGAAGCCGCTATAGATGTCGCCTGGAGGCATCCTCAGGTAAAGGGTCACGGGCCAAGAAAAGGACGCAAGAACATGGCTACTGGCCATACACCACAATGTCATAGTATGTGTGCACATGGGAGTGTGTCTGAAACTCTTTCTCTCCATTGAACAGAAGCATACTCACCGTGTTTCTGTCTTTGTTTTGTTTCACCAGGATGACGACATGAGGGATGGCTTCAATTACTCGGGTTACAGCATGACTCAGTGCCTGAAGGATGGGTCGGCTGTAAAAAATGCTGTCCCAAACCCCGGCCCAGCACCACTAACCCCTAAAGAGAAAGAGGTGATAAGGAAGAGGTTTGTGGACAGGGCCAAGAGGATTGACACTGTGTCCCGAGCAGCCTTCCCTATGGCCTTCCTCCTCTTCAACATCTTCTACTGGATAACATACAAGGTCATCAGGCATGAGGACATTGGCATGCAGTCAGGGTAGTCGCTCTGCCCCGCAGGTTTTACCTATGGAACTCTCCTCTCTATTTCTTTCTCTATAATTTCTCTAAATAAGAACTGCTAGGACAGCACAGTGAGACTAATGTATGTTGTGGGACTGTACATGGAGGAGAGCCACAGAGATGTTGATGGTGTTGGTGTTCTTTAAGGGAAAATTGATAGGTGTTCATGCTAATAGACTAATGCACATGTTTAAGATTAACAAGTGAACAATTAGTGAGTCACAGATGTACTGTATGTTTTCGATGTGTTCCTATGAGCTAATGCATCCTGGAGATTCTAATAGGTTTTTACTCAAGGCACAGAACAACGATGTAAAAAGGTGGACCAAATTTTATGAGACGATTCTGCCTTTGCATTTGTTAAACCTTGCAATGGAGCAACATTCCATGGATTTGTATGTGCAGTAGTCTGGGCTTAATAGTTAAGGTTAGACGTTTGTGTGGTGAAAAAAAAAGTTTCATAAGAAAGTTGATTATAGCAGTTTTATACAATTGTACTGCAGTTCCTCACTGTTTCTACAAGCAGCAATTTCTTCCACAATACACACACACACACGCACACCATATAAGGCATACATCTGTGTATACAGTTGAAGACGGAAGTTTACATACACTTAGGTTGGAGTCATTAAAACTCGTTTTTCAACCACTCCACAAATTTCTTGTTCACAAACTATAGTTTTGGCAAGTCGGTTAGGACATATACTTTGTGAATGACACAAGTAATTTTTCCAACAATTGTTTACAGACAGATTATTTCACTTATAATTCACTGTATCACAATTCCAGTGGGTCAGAAGTTTACATACACTAAGTTGACTGTGCCTTTAAACAGCTTGGAAAATTCCAGAAAATGATGTCATGGCTTTAGAAGCTTCTGATAGGCTAATTGACATCAGTTGAGACAATTGGAGGTGTACCTGTGGATGTATTTCAAGGCCTACCTTCAAACTCAGTGCCTCTTTGCTTGACATAATGGGAAAATCAAAAGAAATCAAGACCTCAGAAAAAAATGGTAGACCTCCACAAGTCTGGTTCATCCTTGGAAGCAATTTCCAAATGCCTGAAGGTACCACGTTCATCTGTACAAACAATAGTATGCAAGTATAAACACCATAGGACCACGCAGCCGTCATACCGCTCAGGAAGGAGATGCGTCTCCTAGAGATGAACGTACTTTGGTGCGAAAAGTGCAAATCAATCCCAGAACAACAGCAAAGGACCTTGTGAAGATGCTGGAGGAAACAGGTACAAAAGTATCTATATCCACAGTAAAACGAGTCCTATATCGACATAACCTGAAAGGCCGCTCAGCAAGGAAGAAGCCACTGCTCCAAAACCGCCATAAAAAACACAGACTACGGTTTGCAACTGCACATGGGGACAAAGATCATACTTTTTGGAGAAATGTCCTCTGGTCTGATGAAACAAAAATAGAACTGTTTGGCCATAATGACCATCATTATGTTTGGAGGAAAAAGGGGGTGCTTGCAAGCCAAAGAACACCATCCCAACTGTGAAGCACGGGGGTGGCAGCATCATGCTGTGGGGGTGCTTTGCTGCAGGAAGGACTGGTGCACTTCACAAAATAGATGGCATCATGAGGAGGGAAAATTATGTGGATATATTGAAGCAACAGCATCTCAAGACATCAGTCAGGAAGTTAAAGCTTGGTCGCAAATGGGTCTTCCAAATGGACAATGACCCCAAGCATACTTCCAAAGTTGTGGCAAAATGGCTTAAAAACAACAAAGTCAAGGTATTGGAGTGACCATTACAAAGCCCTGACCTCAATCCTATAGAAATTATGTGGGCAGAACTGAAAAAGCGTGTGCGAGCAAGGAGGCCTACAAACCTGACTCAGTTACACCAGCTCTGTCAGGAGGAATGGGCCAAAATTCACCCAACTTATTGTGGGAAGCTTGTGGAAGGCTACCCAAAACATTTGACCCAGGTTAAACAATTTAAAGGCAATGCTACCTAATACTAATTGAGTGTATGTAAACTTCTTACCCACTGGGAATGTGATGAAAGAAATAAAAGCTGAAATAAATCATTCTCTCTACTATTATTCTGACATTTCACATTCTTAAAATAAAGTGGTGATCCTAACTGACCTAAGACAGGGAATTTTTACTAGGATTAAATGTCAGGAATTGTGAAAAACTGAGTTTAAATGTATTTGGCTAAGTTGTATGTAAACTTCCGACTTCAACTGTATGTGTGAAGAGATGGCCTCCCGAGTGGCGTAGTGGTCTAAGGCACTGCATCGCAGTGTTAGCTGTGCCACTAGAGATCCTGGTTCGAATCCAGGCTCTGCCGTGACCGGGAGACCCATGGGGCGGCGCACAATTGGCCCAGGGTAGGGGAGGGAATGGCCGGCAGGGATGTAGCTCAGTTGGTAGAGCATGGTGTTTGCAACGCCAGGGTTGTGGGTTCAATTCCCACGGGGGGCCAGTATGAAAAAATAAAAAATTAATATGTATGCACTCACTAACTGTAAGTTGCTCTGGATAAGAGTGTCTGCTAAATGACTTAAATGTACGAGATGAAATCCAGATGAACAGTTGGATACTGCATTTTTATGAGCTACCCAAGGCCTTAGATACCATGGATTTGGAGATAAAATTGTATTCCACTGGGCACAGACATCAATTCAACATCTATTCCGTGTTGGTTCGAAGTAATTTCATTCTAATGACGTAGAAACAACGTTGATTCAACCAGTGTGTGCTCAGTGGGATGCTTCCCTATCTTTCACAAAGCAGCATCTCTTCTCGCTCAGCTGTCTGTCAGAAATGAATGCACTGTTTATTTAAATCAGTTCAATTTTGCCTGAAGGTGGTTTGTATTTTCCTCTCCCCTTCAATGTCAAATTATTAATACATACATACAGTATGTCATTGAATTAATTATTCAACGTATCATCGCTATTTTCAAACACCGTATTTTGCATTACATTTTCTTCTTCTTAACGTTTTTAATATAACATACAGGTTACATGACAAACTACTGACACACAGACAATATCCCACTACTCAGTTTTCCATTTTTGCCAATTGATTTGTTTATATTACAGATTAATATTCCAGGTAGATTTGGTTTTAGAGTTGAGTACGTTTTTGTAGATTTAACTGTAATGAAATGTTTATTGTAATGAAGGCAGATAACATGTTTCTAAAAACAGAGATTGCTATTCTACTTCTAAAGATTCCTCTGAGGACTGTTTAATGCATCCCCTCACTTCCACACTGCAGTGCCCTCTTTGGGCAGTACATATTACAGTTGACATTGTATACTATACAGTATTGCAACTATGAAGTAGATCTTCATAACTAGGGCCCTGTGTTTTGGTTAATCATGTCACAGGACCTGGATTTTAATATTTATGTGTCACAGGACCTGGATTTTAATATTTATTTAAAGCTCTTTCATCAATCTGTCCCCTTTTCTTTTTATGTCAGATGGTGCAGCACATTCTTTAGACAATTGCTTTCATTTTTGGTGAAATTCTCATTTCTGGAAAAGGCTTAAAGAAGAACTATGCAGAAATCGCTTCGCCATTTCCTGGTTGCAAAATGTCTAATAGTTTGCTTAATTTCAGTTTACGTGACAAACAATCAAGTATAGTGTTGAGAATCATTGTACCATCTAAACTGCTGTGAAATATATTTACCATAACCAAAAATATTGTATTTTCAGCTGTTTGAAGCTGAAAGTAAAAGTCAAAAAAAACTAAACTTAAAAACGGGAAGCATAGAAATAACATACATAGAACAGATTTACCGCTTCTTAGACTTGCTTTCAATGAGAATGAAAGATCTATAATTCACATTTCTATGTGAATTTTGTCAGGTCACCCAAAAACATATTGCATATTTAAAATAAAAGGTTAAAATCTAGGTCATGTGACATGATAGCCAAAACACAGGGCCCTACTCATAACACATAATAGTATAGAGCAGCTATTGGTCCTTGCACTTCTGACATAATGTGAGGAAAGTTTTTTCTTGAATGGTGTTTCTGAAAAGGGTTGTTTACTAAACTGTACATCAATAAAGTTGAGTGTGCACCACACATACACTCTCCCTCATCATGGTAGTGTGTTACAGGTTGTCAGATCTTTAGATGATGTGTACTATCTGTTTGGAACTAGCTGACCACATTTAGAAGAATGATTATGAAGCAAGACTACAGAGTTCAATATTTATAGTGTGATGGCAACAGGGAATCAATACTGATGAATAATGATTACAGACAAACCAAGACAAAGCAACTAAAGCAGACATCTCTATATTCACTTGGGAAGAGAGAAAGTTAGAGGAGAGAAAAATCAACAACTGCCCTTTCTTCTTACCTGGCCAATGACTCAGGGTGACTGCTGAAGCCTGGCTAGGCTCTCTATCTCTCGCTCTAGGTCGCTCCCTGTGACACAGACCCGGGGCGACGGCGGGCTTCTGCTAATGCGGGATAATGGGCCTCATGGTGCGTTGGCGAGACATCACAGCAGGTGGCGTTTACCTATGTGGACACCAGCTGAATAGAAAACGCTAGGATGGCTTCACCGACACTGCAGGACAATTCTATTAGACACACACACCCGGGGATAAGTGGTAGCACATCTTAAACGGTCTCCACTCAGTGCAATTGTCTCTGAAGTTGTTAAATGTGAGAGCCATGCTAATTACTGCTGCTCAGAAAGGCATCATGTTCTGCTCCGTGACACCAAATGACCATGTGAATCATTAGAATTAGACAGAAAAGATAACATTGCTCTACTGTACAGTGCCTTGCAAAAGTATTCATCCCCCTTGGCATTTTTCCTATTTTGTTGCATTACAACCTGTCATTTAAATTGATTTTTATTTGGATTTCATGTAATGGACATACACAAAATAGTCCAAATTGGTGAAGTGAAATGAAATAAATAACTTTTTTCAAAAAATTCTAAAAAATAAATAACGGAAAAGTGGTGCGTGCA